CTTACTTTAAAGCCGTCGGTAAATATATTGAAGAATCTGGATTTGTAGACGTCCTAGTAGAGGCAGAGCTTCTTGCGGCTGGTTCGGTTAAGGGACTCATCGGAGGAACTCATTACAAAAGATTACACACTCTTTTTGCTACAGCTCTTCAGACACTCCATTTTCAATTTTTTTTTAAAACATATTCCGATAAAGATGCCAATTTAGATGAAATCGTAAATGAACTTAACGATATTCAGGACAAACTGAAATACGGAAAAGAATTATCACCACAATTGGAACATCTCTTAGCAAACTATGGAAATTATTGTCAAGAGACCTTGAATGGAGGTCATGGTAAAACATCAAAATACTGGTATACCTATATACATCTCATTCAAAATTTCTTGGATTTTTCCCGGAGCATTCGTATATCTGCATTTGAAGCATATAAATCAATTCTATTTAAAATGTCATCTACATTCTTTATTTTCAATCAACCAAATTATTCTAGATGGACAATTAAGTTTCACGATGACCTATTAAAATGCGAAGAAAATTACCCTGACTATAAAGAAGAATTTATGAATGGTTGCTTTTCCATAAAAAGGACCAACAAGCCATTCTCTAGATCTCCAGTTGACCTTACTTTAGAGCAGACAATTAATGCAGATGCCTCTCGAACATCCGGAATTGCATTCATTACGAACTCTATCGAAGACAGACAACGTTGGGCACAAAGCCACTCTTTGCGAACTTCCATCGTTTCACAAACTTTTGAGGATGTTGGATGTACTACCAAAGATTGCCAACGAAGGTGTAAAATACTCATTTCGTCATAAGAATTCCACTCAAGAACTGAAACTGGAAAGGGATTTAGTTAGCAAAATTTTACTACTGTCGCTAGATAATAAAATTGATCTTCAGTTAGTTCTAAATCATCCTTTAACGCCCGTACCTCTCTCACTTTGTAACCTAGATGGAACCATAGTCAAAACCAATAAAGCAGCACTTCTGAATATATTACAAAGCTTTGATACGGAACTGGAAGACCCGCCATTCATAGATGCGATTATTGTTGACGGCTTCTTTTTTTTTACACCTGATTAAGGATCACCCTACAAGTTTCGAGGCCTTAGCTAGGTTTATTTTAGGCAGACTTTGTGCCCTTAAAGGACAAGAATTACACCTAGTATTTGATAAAATTGTCACACCCTCCATAAAAGATATTGAACGAGACAGAAGAACTACCACAGGATTTCGAGAGGATAATTTTGTGATTAGTGGACCTCATCAAAAGTGTCCTACTAATTTTATTATGTCATTAAGACAGAATAACTTTAAGCGTGCATTGGTGGCATACCTTATCGAGGAATGGCAAAAGGATTTCAAGTTTCCCATAATTGGTAACAGAATTATATACGTAACACATGAAGATATTTGCTATAAATTTTATGGAAAACATGACACAGTTATCAAGGAAATAGCAGAAGAATATTGTTGTGAGCACGAGGAAGCAGATACGAAAATAATATTTCACATAAACAAAAGTACCTCCAAAAATATTATAATAAGAGCCTCGGATACAGATTTAGCAGTTATTGCACTGGCACATGTTGATATATTTAATAATGGAAATAAAAATATTTGGATAGAGCTTGGGCAGATATCGAATAACACTCTAAGATATATCAACATAAGTAAGATTAAAAGTGTTTTAGGGGCGAGTTTGTGTGATGCCCTGTCAGCATTTCATGCTTTTACGGGATGCGATTATGACGCTGCATTTTATGGTAATGGTAAAAAAAGACCATTTAAATTGTTACAATAATGCTCAAAGATACAAGCAGCTTTTGCTGACTTGGGTTCAAAACCTTTTGAGGAGCTTTCAGATGAGACCTTAAACGTAATCGAAAGCTATGTTTGCAAATTATACGGAAAGCCAAATATTAATCAAGTTAACAAGGCTAGACTTGATTGCTTTATCAAAATTTATGGAAATAATTCTGAAAAAAATCCACTTTTATTAAAAAAATCATTTAATGCTCTAAATTTTCCCCCCTGTAAAGAAGTTCTCATGCAGAAAATAAGGAGAACTAATCAAATAACAGCTATTTGGAAAAATGCAACCAAAACCAAAGCAAACTTCAACGACCCTGTAAATAATGGATGGGTATTTAAAGACAATAAATTTGAGATACTTTGGTTTGAGGGTCCCCAAACACCAAAAGAACTTGGTGATATTTTACAAAATAAAGATTTATCAGCCGACGAAAGTGACGACGATATTTTGATAGAATCCAGCGATGATGAGGACGATATGCTATAATCCATATAATTTTCAGTGTTTGTTTTCTATGCCACGTTTTATTTTATTTTTATGTATTTTTTAAAATAATTCTTGGTTCATAGTAGTAAATAGGTTAATCTGTGGTTAATTAATGGTTATAATAATTTATAAAGCAGAAGGCCCTAATCCTTGACGGCACGAAATTGGTTAATAATATCAAGTGGTTTAGAATGTTTAACAAAATATTTGTTTTGACACCCCGTTCAAATTTTTGTTGTGTTTTACACACAATTGTTAAACATTAATCAGTAATATTTTAATATTATATTACCTATACTTATGTATTCTGTATTCGTGTGCTAAAGAAGATTTATGATCGTCAGAAACACTTTTAGTATGTAATTAAGATGATATTATGTAAGTTACTAATTTACAACTGTTTTTTTGAGAGATTTATAAGTAACCATGTTTACCTTTTTATAAAACTTTAAAAAAAACGTTGTTTTTTGGTGAAGGGTGAATTCTCCCGTACCTGCATTAATAAGAAGCCAGTTTAAAAAACGTAGGTAGTTTAAAAAAAAATTAAATCGCGTTATTTAATAATATTGTTAAATGTTAAATGTCAAAATTTAATTAGTATTAAGTTTCTAAGTGTTTGACTATATTTAATTGTATCAATTTAAACCACTTATTTTTGTTATTTGTTATTTGTTATTTTTGTTACATTTGAAATGTATCATCGCCAAGCTGTTTTATGTATTTAGTTGTTATCTTACAATAAATTTGTTGTGCATAATTATCTTGCATATATATTTTATTGATAGCTCATAATAATTCTGAAAAAACTGTTGGTAATAGGGTACTTGCATGGAAAATTAAATTGATTATTGTTCATTGCAAACAGTAGGAAATCGAAAAAAAAATCGATGCGTGTTTTTTTATTTTGTCCAAATATGATTATTTCGAAAGTTATACAAATATTGAGTTTTGTATATATAGATATACTGAGCATATGCGACGTCACAACGTATTATAACTTATGACGTCAGAAGGACATTTCAAAGCGTTGTATCTCCGTCAATTTTTGACTAACAAGAAAAAGAAAAAACACGTGTTGACTAATTTTTAATGGACTATCGAAATCAGGAATAAAAAAATTTGATGCAAGGGGCCTATTGACCCACAAAAAAAGATTTTTGACAAATATATGCTTAATCAACCCAAAGTTAGGCTGCCAAATACAATCTCTGCCTGTAAGAACATAACATTTATAGAGTTGCTTTAAAAGTTTCACTTATCTCAACTATCTTCAATACTGTTTTCCCATAAATCAACTTGTTATTGTGACCGCCTGCCAAAAAAGCGCTGTTTTTTTTTCGTCTGCCTATTTTTTTTTTTTTTTTTGATAGTACCATCGTCACCAAAAGTATCTGGGACACAAATAATGCCTAATAATCTCCTGGACTAGTTCTACTGTCATTCATTTCAATGCATTATATTCATAGTTTGACAAATATTTGACAATAAAATTCATATAATAGGACAAGAGCTAATGTGATGCTGTCCCAGTTACTTTTGGTGTGGATGGTACATTAGTGAACGAATAGGCCCGCAAAAAAAAATCTGTCTTTCACCACCAAAACTAATCTGTGACCAAAACTTAAAAATTACAAAATTTGATAGTGTCTGCCAAAATTGTCCGTCAAATAAATTTTCTGCCTATTTGAATCTTGAATACACTAGAGCTGCTCTAAAGGCCCCCACAGACTGCGTTTTTGTTTAACGGTTTTGTTCGACCAGCAAATCTGGTCGAGCAAAAACGACGGATCGGAGTTGCACACAGACCTCGGTTTAGTTTGGCGAAGATCAGTCATGTTGAAAAGTTGTTATTTTTTTTTGTTTTTTGTTTCAATAAGTTAATAATATAAAATTCTGTAGCTACGCAACACACACGACATAAAACCGTCGTTTTTGACATTTGAAGCCCACACACTTCAGATTTGTTGACAAATCGAACATATCCGACTGACAAAATCAGGCAAAGCCAGATATTTGCATAGATTTTGTATGCGAGCAAAAATGACAATTTTTCACCCACACACACTTCGGTTTTGCGACGTTTTTGCTTGACCAGATTTGCTCGTCGAACAAAACCGTCCAACAAAAACGCAGTCTGTGGGGCCCTTAACACTTTCATGAATATCAGCTATTATCAGTATTGTTTACCATAAATCAACTTTTCATTATTCAAGCATCTGCCAAGAAAACGCTGCCGTCTTTTTCGTCTGCCGATATTTTTTCTGAGAGTACGTTAGTAAAGGAATCGATTTGTAAAAAAAAAAAATGATAAATGTTCACTAAAACTTGAAAATTACAAATTTGACAGGTGCCTGCCGAAGTAATGCTGTCAAACAAATCGTCTGCCTGTGTAATTTTGATAACTCCTCAAACTGTTAATTCGTTTCCGAAAATTTCGATCTTGATCAATATCGTTCACCAAAATGAAAATTCATCCCTTTTTAAAATTTAACCCCCGAATAAAGCTGCCACCCTGAAACGGCAGACGGTCAGTTTTGGTATGTCCAGGTAACCCTCAATCATGATTAATTAATAAACATTTTGATCAATATCGTTCACCGAAAAACCTGCCAGCTCCTATACTATTACCTCCACATGAAAGAAGAAGCTCTCCTGTACCTCACTTCTGCTTGGCCTCCAGAGGCAAGCTTTCCTAGATTTTTTTATAGTCTTCTTTAAAGAAATATATGTAAAATTATTTTACTTGGTATCAAGAAAGTCAACTTACCAATATCATCACCTAATCCAAATCCTCTAATTTTTCTTACCTTTATTTCTAAACGAATTGCAGGACGGACTTTCTCCCAATTTGTATAAATCGCGTCAACTGATTCTGGAAACCGTTTGTTAAAATCAGTTTCGATCTAAAAATAAAAATAATATTTCATGTAAACTATTAAGAAAATTATTATGTTCAAATAGAATTTATATTAACTAACATAAGCTTACCAAATCCAGTCCTTGGTTCAACTTGAGACAGGGAAAATCCTCAAAAATTTTTTGAAGACTTGCATTAAGGTATAATTTTCTCCTTAATTTAAATGTGGCTTCCCAGCTTTCAAATATTCTCCCTATAGGTTCAGTTGCACGTTTTAAAAATGTAATATTTATTTCGTCATCTTTATTTAAAGGGCTATTTTCCTTTTCATCGTTTTTGCTTTTCTGCTTGCCTTGAATAGATGCATTAGCCAATTTTAGGGAAGACGTTGTATTTATAAATTTCGTGTAAAGTTTTCCAGAGGGCCCTTTTTTGTGTTCTGGATCATATGGCAAGTAGTAGGTATCTGATTTTTCCAATGGAAAAAACTCTTCTATTTCTTTTGCCACTTTCATGAAAATATTCGGCTTGATACTAAAAATAAATTTTAAAAAAATTATCAAATTGTCTTACTACTTAATATCTATGATCTATGACAATGCGAAATGAAACATTTTTGAAAAATATTTAATCCACTTACTCGTTTATTGGAAATAACCCAAAAAATTCACTTATTATGATTTTGGTTAATTTCCCTTTCAAGTCGTTATTGAGTTTATCCTTGTGAATAAGGACTAATTGTCCATCAGGGTATTTTTTTAAAATAGTCTCCAAGCCCTAAAAATTAATTGATATGTATCATAATTTAAACTAAACAGTTGATTATTTATTTTTGTATTTCAAAATGTTGTTGAAATAAAAACTGGTAGGTACCAAAACTAAAAAAACTATCAAAGCTATAAAAACCTATAACTAAAAACTGTAAGTACTATTTTTTTTCAAATCTCATTAATTTGTGAATAAAATTAGGCATAAAATTTACCAGTGGAAAAATGCTTGGCTGTTTAATTTTTTTGGAAGGTGGTAGTGGAATAGAATCCAAATATTCAATTAAAACGTCATCTTCTATCATAGAATTTTCCTCGAACTTTTCTATGTTCTCAGGTTTGTCCTCTTGTGTTTGAAAGGTTTCTTGAGTATATGATAATTTTCTTTTTGGCTGTTGTGGAGTGGAAGTGGAACTACTAGCGCCCCATAAATTTAAAAAATTATCATCGGGTAATAATCCCAAATTTATGTAGGTAAAGTTCGTTTCACGAGGGTTTATACTTTTGACATCGAAGACGTTAGAACTTTTGAAAAACAAGGGGTTGTCGTAGAATAATTCATAAAGTCTGTTTTTTTTTTTAGATAATTCTCCAAATCAAAAATTTAGTAACTATGTTGGCAATACAAGCCTTTTCTACATAAAAAATTTGAAAACATTGACAATTTTACATTGTAATGCCAAGATAATGTCATTTTAACTTTTATCTTTTAAAAAATAGTATATTGTTGTATTAGGAGTAGAAGCTTTACTTTTTTGTGCTGAAGCAGTAGGTTTGCGAGCCGAACGTAGTGAGGCTGGCAATACTACTTAAGCACAAAAAAGTGCTTCTACTCCGTATGCAACACGCTATATTTTCTCCAAACGAATGGGTAAGCTCGCGCGCAACTGGATGGTTAAGCGGCAGTAAAAGTACGAGCGGCACTAAAAGTACTTTTGCTGCCGCTCCAGCGGCACTAAAAGTACTTTTACTGCCGCTGTGGTTGCCTAGCAGCATAGAAATTAAATTTCTACCACCTCGACAGGTGTTAACCCGCTGGATTTGCCTACCAGCATAGAAATTAAATTTTTAACATATTGACAGGTGCTGACAAAGTGACGTTTTTTTTGACGTTTGGAGAAAAAATAGACTTTATGACACAATCAATTTTTTTGAAAAATTAAAATGAATGCCTTCTGGTTTAAGGTTTAAGAACCGACAAACGTTTTTCACATCATTGATTTGTTTCAATCAATTTCTATTTGCTAAAAAAGGAAGGCAAATTATGTCAAAAGTATAAACCCTCGCCTGAAGCAAAGTGTAACTATAATCCAGATATTCTTTGGATCTGAACAAACTAATTGTAATCACATGAGGTTTGTTCATGAGGCGTCAAAAAACAGTTACGGCCAATGAAATCGTTGTAAAACCGAATGACAATTGTTTGAAACAAACCTTAAATGAGTTTGATCAGTTTGTTCCAATGAACTTATAATCGAACACTGGAATGCGCACACATATTGACAAACGTGAAACCTAGTGCTGCTGCGGAGGGGATACCTGTTTTTGTCGCACTCATTATGTTAAATGGCGGAAATTGCTTCCAACACGTATTCCAATTGATGAAACCTGTGAAGGTAAATATGACAAAACTTTCCAAAACGTCATACCTATATCAGCGAGCAACAGAGAAAAACAACATTCCCCTTTGTGGCATCTGTCTTTCATGGCTTCATTTTTTTGGCAGATATGGAAATGTGTGCGCATTCCAGTTTTTGGCTATAGTTCATTGGTTTGTTCAAATCGAAAGAATACGTGTATTATTTACATGTACGATCACCCAAAAAAGTAATTTCCTTGAAGAAAAATTCATTCGTTGATAAAAAAAGAACTCCTTATAATCATTTAGCCATTAGTGCTATGGTTGGTTTGTTAGCCCTAATTTAAAAAAAAAAAATAGGCATTCAAAGAATTCAAAGGCTTCTGTTGTGTGTTGTGTGTGAGGGCAGTGAATTTTCAATCCAGAACAATAACCTTTTTGGGCGACATACATTATACATTTTTTTTTTTCCAGCCTGACACATATTCCTGTACTTGTCTAATTATATTGATCGTAAAAATAAAGTATAAGTTAAATCAAGAGTCAAATGCATTTTTTGGAATTTCATAAATTGCAGATGAAAGTAATCGAGTGTTGAGAAGCTGAATCTGGGTATTTTTTTTCAATTTGAAAGTTTTCAAAAGAAAAATAAAACTTAATTTTGTCTCAAATTCCTGAAAAAGCAATAAGTTTGCAAAATAATATACATACAAGGTGTCACTTTGAAAACTTACAATGGCTATATCTGAGTAACCAAATTAAAATAAAAATCAATTTCTATAATAGGGAGGGGGAACCAAATTTATGTAAGGTCTGTTCCAACACGTCAAAAACCATCCCATGAATGGTTTCGAAACCAGTCTACACACAAATTTGAAGCTTTGTGCAGAATCGTGATGGTACATTGAACGGTTTCGTGCTGTGTTGGAACAAAGCTAATATGTATAACCAGTCGTCACCGTAGTGTTAAAGTGTTCTATGTCCATTTAGTTCAAAACGAGGAAACAAGGTTTGAAGTTTAATCTCGTTTTTTCTGAATAATATAGGCAAAGTCCCATTGAAAATTTATTTGTATGGAATATATATATTCATATTTGTATCACAACCAATTAAACATGTCTTGGACGTCTGTAATAAAATATATTTAAGTTTTTTATTTTGGATATGGAATAAATACAAAAAAGTAGTGCAGTCCAATGAAATTCTAGGGATGTAGAACAAAAGTTAGGGATGTAGAACAACATAATTTTATTATTTCTTTAAAGTATTTCACACACTTTAACTTTAATAGTAATGCATACAAAATCAAAAATTCTTCTCAAAAAGATATCAAACTTATTCCTATTTTCATTTCTTGCTTGTAGATGCAATTCCTTTTTTCTTCGGTTTCTTATTTCCAACCTTGGATGGCTTATTGGTTTTCTTCACCATAATCTGCTTATTTGCAGCAGTTTTCTCCGTGGGCATTAAATTTTTATAGAATATTCTTTCATCTTCGGGCATATAATCCATCATTTCAAGTAAATGTTTTCTTTTCACATCATTTATTTTTACAGCCAAGTTTATATTTGGGATAGACGTTGGAAACTCTATGCCTACATGGTTGTTATTTCTATATTTTTTCAGAGGCACTAACCTCACCTCAGATGATTCTCCTTCAAATGATGTTTTGAATTTAACATTAAATATTGATCTCTTGTCATAAATTATATGTTTCAATTTTGTGTATGGAATCTCATTGTAATTAAATGTCCCAGAAAGCAGTTGATAGTTCTTGTAGTCAGCTGGTTTCATCTGTAAAACAGAAAATTTCAGCTTCCATGTATTTGGAATCTTCAAGAGTATGCGAACCAGAGTTAGAGGACTCCATATTTCCAAATTCTTAATAAATCTCTCAATGCAGCTGTGAGCTGCGTCGACTTCCTGAACATTGCCATGTCCTGGTTCTCCAAACTTTTGTTCAATCCTCCTCAAATTTCCAGACTCTGGCGAGTTAAGGAAATACTGTAGAGCGAATGACAAAATGGAATTCCTGTTTTGTGGTACGCAACTATCAGACCACAAAATAATTTTCTCTAGCTGCGGATTGTCCTCAATAACTCTTTTCAAAATTCTTATTATAGCATTGGCAATGTGAACACCAGCTCTACCGCAAATAAGCTCATGCCATATTGCATTATAAACAACTTTAGTTTTATCCCAGTGGGCCGTTAAATTTTAGCAACATAACTTCATTTTGTAAAAAAAGTTACTAATATTTGCTTTAGGTAAAGAAAAAGTATTCTCTAGGTCAAAAGTGATTATTCCCACCGTATCATCATCAATATAGGCTTCCCTGTCTCTCTGTCGCTCTTGTCTACCTATATTTTTTCTTTTCAGGTGTTCTTCATATTCCATTTTTTCTTCTGTACTTGCATTTCTATTTACTTTAAAACCTTCGCATTTATCACATAAGTCCTTTTTTGGCTTAAAAAAACTTATGTTATACTCCTTATTAAAAATGGACTTGTATAAATGAAATTTAACGGGATTTTCAACAGTCGTTTTATATAGGTCATAGATTCTTTGGATTTCAATGTAGAATTTTCAATTGTTTGGGTAGGATCGGAAAAAAAAAACCGCAGAAGTCTGGTTTTTAAAAAAGTCGACGTTTCGCAAAATTTATTTGCATCTTCAGGACACTGTAATGATAAAAAATAAAAGGGTTCTTTACAAACTTAGATGATGAACTACAAAAATACAAAAGACAAACAAAAAACAGAGCTATCCTCCGATTTCGCACTAAATTACTTGAATAAATATTTCATAAAAACAGAAAGAAAATAGCAGAATTACATGAAACCTTTAAATAAATTATACGTATATAAAAATATATATAGCTATATTGTAAGTGGGGAGAGTAGCATCATAAAACATAGAAAAAATACTTATAGTTAACAAAGGGTAGTGAAATTGACTTGATTACTTACATTTAAATTAGACTTTCCTTGTCATTGTTGTTTAACAGATTCACATAGGTATAGAGGTTTCTCGAAAACATAGTTGATAAAAAATTAAAAAAAACACACAATTACGTAGCACAACAATAACAATTTAAAATTTAAAAAAGCAAAAACAACAAACTTTACACACCTCAAATGAGAGATAAAAAAAAAAAACAAAAATTAACCATTCATCAAACGGAAATGTTATTCAAAAATTAATAATATAAATTATCTTTATAAACTAAGCTTTTAGGACGCAATTGTGTGTGTATTAGAACAGCTACATACACGTACTGATTTTATTTAGCGTCATCATTAATAGGATGGGAAACAAAAAACTGAATACCACACATTCCAACGCTAATATCTTGAGGGTTATTTAATTGTTGCTAATATATTAAAATATGCATTACTAAGATGTTCTATATCTGTTCTTTTGTTAACACAATTCTTATTTTTCTGGATCTCAATCATCTCCGCTATCAACCTTTTTTTGTAATTGGATTGTGTTTGTAAAATTGTTGTATTGTCATATTCAAAATCATGTCCAGTTTCTATTTTATGTTCGACTAGAGCTGTTGGATTCGATCTTAAGAGGTAATTCTTCTGATCGTTTTTATGTTCTCTCAATCGTGTTTTTAAATATCTACCAGTTTGGCCTATGTAGCATTTATTACATTGGGAACAAGGAATGTTATAAACTACATTCGATTTATTTAGCTTTTCTGTGCTGGACTTAGTCTTGGAATAAAAGCAGTTCTTCACTGTATTCTGACTTTTCATCGCAATCTTAACTTTTTCTCCTCTCTTAGTCACCTGATCTTTGAATATGGTTTGTATTCTTTCGGACAGGTTACTAATGTAAGGTAGCTTACAGAACGTGAATGGTTCATTTTGTTTAGGTACTACTCTTGCTGGAATTGTTTTGTTAATAATCTTCTTAATAAGCGATACAGGGTAATTATTCTTAACCAACATGTTCTCTATGTACTTTAGGTTCCTTTCATGGAATTTCTCCGTTGAAAGGGATGTTGCTCTGTACTTAAGGTTATTAATGATATTAATTTTTTGTTTAAATGGGTGTTCGGATGAGAAATTAAGAAACCTTTCAGAGAAAGTAGGTTTGTGATACCAATCAGTTTCAATACTTTGTTCGTGTCTAATGAGTAGTACATCCAGAAATGCAATCCTATTATCATTCTCTTTCTCACAGGTGAACTGAACTCTAGGGTGGTAACTGTTAAATATGTCTAAGATGACTTGTTCTTGATTATTTGGGATTGACGTTATTATATCATCCACATATCTTTTATAAAAAGGTAATTTAAAAGGAAGTTTTTTTATGCACTGATCTTGAAGATCTTGCATCACTAAATCGGAACAGACTGGTGACAAACAGTTACCCATTCCTAAGCCATATATTTGTTTATAGAACTCTTCTTGGTACTGAAAATAACTGTTATCAAACACGAACTCCAACAACTCGATAAACTTGATCAAAGGAATTTTAACCTCATTTTCTATAAGATGCCACTTCTTCCTAACAAACACAATCCAATTACAAAAAAAGGTTGATAGCGGAGATGATTGAGATCCAGAAAAATAAGAATTGTGTTAACAAAAGAACAGATATAGAACATCTTAGTAATGCATATTTTAATATATTAGCAACAATTAAATAACCCTCAAGATATTAGCGTTGGAATGTGTGGTATTCAGTTTTTTGTTTCCCATCCTATTAATGATGACGCTAAATAAAATCAGTACGTGTATGTAGCTGTTCTAATACACACACAATTGCGTCCTAAAAGCTTAGTTTATAAAGATAATTTATGTTATTAATTTTTGAATAACATTTCCGTTTGATGAATGGTTAATTTTTGTTTTTTTTTTATCTCTCATTTGAGGTGTGTAAAGTTTGTTGTTTTTGCTTTTTTAAATTTTAAATTGTTATTGTTGTGCTACGTAATTGTGTGTTTTTTTTAATTTTTTATCAACTATGTTTTCGAGAAACCTCTATACCTATGTGAATCTGTTAAACAACAATGACAAGGAAAGTCTAATTTAAATGTAAGTAATCAAGTCAATTTCACTACCCTTTGTTAACTATAAGTATTTTTTCTATGTTTTATGATGCTACTCTCCCCACTTACAATATAGCTATATATATTTTTATATACGTATAATTTATTTAAAGGTTTCATGTAATTCTGCTATTTTCTTTCTGTTTTTATGAAATATTTATTCAAGTAATTTAGTGCGAAATCGGAGGATAGCTCTGTTTTTTGTTTGTCTTTTGTATTTTTGTAGTTCATCATCTAAGTTTGTAAAGAACCCTTTTATTTTTTATCATTACAGTGTCCTGAAGATGCAAATAAATTTTGCGAAACGTCGACTTTTTTAAAAACCAGACTTCTGCGGTTTTTTTTTTCCGATCCTACCCAAACAATTGAAAATTCTACATTGAAAACCTACTCGGATCGACAAAACCACATTATTGTATTCTTTGGATATTTAGATTTTGCTCTAAATATTTTTTTGATGAATTTTGGCGACAATAGTGCGATTCTACTAGAGGAAACGATGAGATGTGATTCCTAACTTTTTCTTTATCTTCGTCTGGGACTACCTTTTTCTGATGTTTTCCTGTAATAGGAGCCCGTGGAACGTTGGACTTGGGACTTTCGACTTTTTGAAAAAAGTAGTAAACCCGACTTTTGCTAATGTTTAAAGTATTCAGGAAAAACTCTTGGCACACTTTAATTTTTACACCAGAGACATAAAGAAAGTAATCGTAAGAATAAGTCTTCCTGCTATTTTCATTTTTAGTTCTTTTTCGTATTGCTGGGTATCTTCTAATATGCTTAGAATAAAAATGATTTTTTATTTCGTCGCCAAGGCTCCAGAATTTTCTGTTTATATTTTCTCTGTCGATAACTGTAATTTTCTCTTCACATTTAAAACTACATTTTTCTGTTTTGCATCCAGTTGTTTTTACCGATTTATGAGCAACTAACTTGCCCTTTGTATTAATATATTCTTTACCATGTTGACGGTTTTCTTTCCGTATATTTTGCTTCCACCCATTTGGATTTCGTTTGCGTTTTCTGGTAGGGGTATTTGTATCAACATTTTCTAAAATATTATTATTTTCTTCGGCCATTATGGTTTCGTTTACATGTTGGGTTTGTGTCTCATCTTCTGGTAGTGTCACACTTTCTTTATTTAGAATTGTTTCTTGTCCATCCTCGTTAATATCTATTATTTCTAAAACAATTTCATTTTGGGAGTCGCTCGCATTTGCACTAAAAACAAGCATACCTAATGTTTCATATCTTTATTTAAAAACAATCTTACTTCGAATCACCGTTCATGTCATTGTCGTTTGAATCTATCTCAAAGTTTACGTGTTCATCTCTAAAACAATAAAAGTGCATTTAGAAAACATGGTTCACCTACTTTCAGTAGATAAACTTACAAGCCATAAATAGACGGAAGCATAGAGTCTTCTTTATCTATTGTGTCTATCATATTTAGCATTGAACTGTAAAAAAGTTTAGATTGAAATGTTTTTCTGCAAATGAGCAATTACTACATGACCTTATATTTTAAATATGGATTTACAAGAAAATAAACTGACATTAAAATTTAAACTTATTATTATATTAATCTGTACAATCTTGATTATGTATTTTGATTCATGATTCAACGATTTTCTAAACTTTGTTCTGTTTTTTTTCCTGCTAAATAAAAGCATATAAGGCCATTATAACAATATTTATTCAATAAAAAATCTTACTCCCAAACATCACTCGGGCAGTCTAAAGGTTTCTCAGGTCCTGGGGAACTTGTTCGACTTTCGTACGTTTTATCCTGAGACTCAGAGCTAAGTAATGGAAAATTATAATTTATATAATATTATTAATTAATTATTATCTTCCTACTACCTTCTACCTACTTAGTTAGTATCAATGCGATTTTTTAATTCAAATTATAAAAATGCAAAATTATGTTTTGATGTGTAAACGTAAAACCTAAAATAATCCGTGATATCACTATAGATTAAACTTACCCTTGTGCTTCTAAAGACTCCATTATCACGCTAATCACAATAAATTATTAACAAAACAATAATTTCAATTATTACCACACTTTTCTGAGGAAATTACTCAAAAGCCGGTAGGTGTATTACTCATACTCACTGGAAAGTTATAAGATAGGTTAAGTTGTTTGTGTGTTTGTTTGCCGGTGATAGGTGAATAAACAAAGATACAAGATAGCTATATTATTTAGATCTGAAAGAAAGGGAATGCCAATGGATATAGAACAATATAATTTCATTTAAGGGCAAAGTCTATAAGCACCATTTTATTCTATATCCTAGATGATAGGATATAGAACACAATAATTTTTAGGATAGCTTCAATAGACTTAGAGGATATAGCACAAATAAGAAGTTTGGGATATGGCACAAAATAATTTTTGGCATTTTAAAATTTTGAAGGGATATATAACAAAATATTACTATTTATTTTTTTATTTGAAATGTTTAATATGTGTTTTCAATGGATATAGACCAAGCTAATTTTCCTGAAAAAAATTGTGCAATTAACTCTTTTTCCCCAAAAAATGGATATAGACCATTATAATCCTACGGTGACGCAGTGGCGGCTGGTGAGAGGAAAAGTTGGCGGTGCACACACTCAGGGGGGAAGCCCCAAAGGCGCACAATTTTTTTTGGACTGACCCAAACTAACCCAAATTTTCATCTAAAAGACATCTAAAAGTTGTAAAAAAAAACATGCCTCGAAATTTTTTTTCACTTATTCTCAATTCAAACGTGGGCATTTACCATTTCTACAAAATAATAAATGAAGCACGGGCGGAGTACGAGAAATTTATTAAAACAGTTTTATATAAAATAAAACATAAGGCACCATACAAATCAAATAGGAATGAAATTTATAAAAAATATCTACTGCACTGTCTTTCCAGACGAAACTGATTTCTTTGCGGCAGGCGCTTCAAAGAAATATGCCGCCCTATGGCGCCAGAGATGCGTGCTTTGTTCCACATTTCTCGTACATTGAGAACCCCACGCTTTTTTCACAATGATTCTAATATTTTTTGTTCATTAATATTTTCTGTTTATATTAAAAATTATTTTTTCTCCAAACGTCAGAAAAACGTCACTTTGTTAACTCCTGTCAAGATGTCAGAAATTTGATTTCTATGCTGCTATGCAAATCCAGCGGGTTAACACCTGTCGAGGTGGTAGAAATTTAATTTCTATGCTGCTTGGCAACCCCAGCGGCAGCAAAAGTACTTTTAGTGCCGCTGGAGCGGCAGTAGAAGTACTTTTAGTGCCGCTCGTACTTTTACTGCCGCTCAACCATTCACTTGCCCCCGAGCTTACCCCATTCGTTTGGAGAAAAAATAGCGTTTTGCATACGGAGTAGAAGCACTTTTTTGTGCTTCAGCAGTATTGCGAGCCGAACGTAGTGAGGCTCGCAAACCTACCGCTTCAGCTCAAAAAAGTAAAGCTTCTACTCCTAATACAACAATATACTATTTCACTTTTTAGTTCAATTTACTATAAAAGCGTGTTTTTTAATTTGTTTGAACTATATTTATTTTTTACTTTTTAGTTCGATTAATAATAAAAAAAAAAATCGGCCGTGGACGGGACTAGAACCCACGATCGGTGAGTCTGGGAGTTGACGCCAGCGAAGACCCGCGCCTTAGACCGCTACACAGTGTAACAAAATCGAAAAAAATGGGACATTGAGTCTTTTTTCCTAATTATCACTACCTATGATGATTTTCTTTAACAAAAAATGAATAATACGACAAAACTTCTCTTCTGCAAAGATAAAAGGGTGAAAAGTATATTAAAATAGAAAACAGAAATTCCTATGTTGTGATGATATGGAAGAATTCGCACTGATGCAGAAAAGTAAACCTTATCAATAAATAAAATACCAAGTCATATTAAAAGAACAGAATTTATTAGGTGACCGTTAAGTTCACAGACTTAAAATTTAAAATAAACAAAATATTATTAATAGGAAAATACTATGCCAATTCATAGACAGCAATTCATATGAAGTTTACCAGCTAAAACACCTTTTTAAAGATGAGATTTAAAAAATTGCCTAAAACGGGACATTGTTTACGGTTTTGTTAAGATCGCATATACTATGGTCTGAAATCACATGTACTATGGTCACACATACGATAATATAATAATTATCAAACGTCCTCACAAGATGTATTTCTTTTTCATTAAACAACTTTTAAGCATTACTTTTATACCAGCAGGAATCAGTAAAAAAACATTATTGCTAAAAAAAAAAATTCCAAAATCGGATCCAGGTGGAAGCAAATTATATAGGACAGAATACTAGAAGGTTCAATCTATAATACGTTATGTATAAAACATTATCCAAAGTTATCCATTTTTTTATAAGTCAACTGAAATTTTTTTTTTTTTAAAAATTGCTACCACTCATTCAAAAATTAAGGAAATTATCCCTAGGGATACTGAGGAAATATCTTAATGGGATTATGGCGGCAAAAGGTCACCCTCCAAAATAAAATTATCGAAATTCAAAAATATTGCGAGACCACTAAATTATGTATTTTTTAATATGGGTGTTATTTTTTAAAGGATTTGGTAAATTGAAAAACCACAAATTTAAACTGTCATATCTCCTTGACCAAAAAGGCAAAATGAAAGATATCTCACATACTGAAGCTCTGGGGTGTCCTCTAATTATCCGTGTAAAAAATTGTACATAAATCCAAATTTTGATATATAGGCTAATGTCTCGTTTTTTCCAATTTCATTACAGTGTGCGCTAGGCCAACGAACGAACTTAAGGTAGAGGGATATACTAACAGTAATAAGCCACATTATCCAGACGTATCCTGAGTTTTCCAGACTTTATCCAGATTATTCCAGACTTGTTCAGACTGATCCGGATTCTGGAAAATGATCCCTAGGTCTTTTGGGACCTTTTCCAGAAATTTCCAAGTTCTTTCCAGACGTTTCCAGAGATATCCAGACTTTTCCAGACAACATCCAGACTTATCCAGAGTTTTCCAGACTTTATCCAGATTTATCCAGACTTTATATAGACTTAAACAGATTAATTCGGATTCTGAAAAATGATCTCCAGGTCTTTTGGAGCCTTTCGCAGAATTTTTCCGACCCTTTCCAGAAATTTCCAGGCACTTTCCAGACGTTTCCAGAGAATTCCAGACTTTTCCAGACATTTTCCAGACTTTATCCAGACTTGTACAGACTGCTCCAGACTTTATCCAGTCCTTTCCTGACCTCTCTGGACTTCTTCCAAACACTTGCCCGAATGTTCCAGCTCACTTGGCTTTTAGTCCAAAGGAGAGTTACTTACAAACAAACAAACATACAGGTGAAGCTAATACAAGTTAAGCGTGTTAAATAGTACATTAAAATACAAGTTTCATAAGACGTCATTTTATCGAACGAGCCCTATATTAGAAAACGAGCCGGAGGCGAGTTTTCTAAAGGGCGAGTGCGATAAAATGTCTTATAAAACGAATATTTTATACTATTTTTTCTATTTTGGTATTGTTTAATTGAGAAAAACAAATTTTTCTTGAACATTTTATTCTCATATTTCCTGATTTCATATGTTTAGGTTGGTAACACTACTTGCCAAATATAGAAATCTGCTATTATAAAATCGCGAATGACAGTTCGATGGCCATCAGTCAGCCAGTGTTACCAACCGTCGATAAGTAAAAAAGGAGTGTCACAAAGAGCTTCTTTTCGCAACTACTTTTAGTGTCGAAAAGACTTCAATATGACACCAAAATAGAAAATAGTATATTAAAGTATAAGTGGATATTAAGGTCTTTAAAACACGCGCGATTTTTCGAGCACGACGCGACGGCGCCGGCGTAGCCGAGTGCTCGAAATAGAGCAAGTGTTTTAAAGACCAGTTATCCACGAATACTTTACACTATTTTTTTTTATTGGTATACGTTCAAATCATCAATTACTAATAATTTTAGAATGCTAAATTTGTGCTTGACACTTGTTACATTTTATTTGACGTTATCTACAAGTAGGTACCTACCTTAGATTATATATAGTTAACACTAAAAGATGAGTAATCAAATTCCAAATATGGTACAAAGATCTCTCTCCAAATATTTTGATTTTGTCTCTCTTACTTTGTTTACGCTGGTTTTCTATAGTACGATTTCCAAAAATCCTTTTACATTTTGGATCTTTAGACATCTCTCTCTAACGCAATATGTGAACGAAAAGAACACTATACAAGTCTAGCTAAACAGAGCATATTGTTTGGGTGGTTTCCAATAGAAACCGATTGCCTACCAGCGTAAATGTCAATATTCATATTGTTGCATTTTGTTGTGTGTTTATTTTATCGACTTTTTTGGGTGTTTCCCTGCTTTAAAGTGGAATTGTTTGAAAAATTATTATTTACATTTTTATACATTTCGTGCAAGTTTCTTATTCA